AAAGAATAATACAAATTCTTTCATGGAGAAGAATTAGAAGCTTCATGATTGCTTGATCAGAGAAGTACGATGAGAATAGGGACCCAGCAAGCGAGGAAAAATTGTAAGCCTTGAAGCCATCAAAAGCCCTTCTTCACCGTGCTTTAGGTTGAAGATGAATGGGAATTGTGGTAGGTATGCACACAGCAAGAGAGACCTGCACTAAATAAAACCAAAAAAGAACAAACCTTTGTATACTTCATCCAGTTCATCTACGTGTTTTCCCAGATCTGTGTATATTTCTCCCAAAACCTTCTTTGCTTCTGAGAAACGAAGGAGTGGCTCCGCATCGCCATTCATTCTTCGAGAGCTTTTCACTAAAATTGTTCCTGCACTTCCGTGAGTAAGTTCAAAAGAGCACAACTCTTTTAAAATACAATATGAAAAACATTTAAGGCATGCAAAGAACTACAGAACCACGTACAACTTAAATTGTGTCTAGCACTATCGTTTAAGCCTCCATGCGTCACTCCATACATCTCGAACCCATAAAGACAAGCAATTCCGCCTGGTAATGAACAAGTTCATGGCAACAAGAACAGCAAACGAACAAGAAGCAAAGAAATGGATCTCAAGTATCGACGCGAAAGATTCCACTACTCAAGCATTAAAATAAGCGGCATGGAGAAGGAAAATATTTGTGACGATGACGAGATCACGTCAACAAGCCCTTTGAAGTGCACTTTGATGACAGTGGACACTTCATCATCCCCTTTCCTTAGTCAAAAGGACTTAGCGAACCCATGAATGAACTCATGAACTACAAGCTAGAAACGCTTCATCGAATTTCGAAGTTGCTATTCTTTGAGCAACTAATTCCATATAGCCTTTAAAGTTACATTTAAATTCTAACAAAAATCGTAAATGAACACTAAACATCGTGAACAAACAGTCGAAAACCATTTTGCCCCAAGAAAAAACCGCAACTCATTTGATACTAAACTTTCGAGCGCGTACAAGGGTGATTACAAGCGAGTAGAACTCAAGCAGCTGTAGGGGACGCTCTAAAAACACATTAGCCATTGGCTTTCGAAATAGAAAAGCGCAGCGAACGAGCATATAAATTGGGCATAATGTTGGGGGGGGGGGACGAATTCAGGATAGGATAAGAACTGCATTGCACCCTGGAGTCTCCTCTAAGGCTTGACCCTAAAATTGAGCGTTTCTCTGAAGTTGACGCAATGTTGAGAGCTGCCCAATCCCCAATGTTGACTTATGGGAGGAATGTTGTATTTCCCAATGGGTCTATTCCAGTTGAGGGAGCATCATGATGCAGTTTCTCGGCCTAGTGTGAACTCGAACATTCCAGCTTTTCACGCATGTCAAGTGACTGCCCTCACCCCCACCCCCTAGACTGGCACTCCCCCTGGCTCGGAGTTACCCTAGCTTTCTGGAAAACTGCATCATGATGCCCTCCCCCTAACTGGAATAGACCCTCCCAATAGTTCCTATCAATAAAGTAAACTCAATAAGTATCTAAAAATACCACACACACAGGTTTTCAGCTGTGATCTCAGCTGTCGCTCATAATTCAGGCGTCAAGTACACAACATAAGAACAATAGTGTGGACACATTCTACTTCACGCCAATTTTCGCAAGGGCAGTGGACCATGACCAATTCCTTCCCCACCCAAGCCCCATGTTGCAAGCTTGTCTCTCCTAGCCTTACGATTGTGTTAGGGCGGAAGATGATGATGTCTTCCTGAGGGAAAGAATTGGATACGGCGCAGGATTGAATTGGCGGGGGGGGGGGATGGGTCGCCCTGGGGGAAGGATTGGGCATGGTCCCATGTTCTACCCTTTTACAGTCCTGAGTCGTCTGCAGCCCCTTGAATTTGGTTCATTAGAAGGCGTCAGGTGTTGTCCTCGTGCGCTGCATCGTTTAGATAGCAGTTCATGGCCATAGTTACTCCGAACACCCAAACTCTTGTCCTAAGAAAAGTGGCTTACACATCCCTCATCCTCTCCCTGAACTGCTATTATTTCCCCAGGCTCGTGTATCTCTCATTTGGTACCGTTAAAAGCTTCGGTAGGCACCGTAGCGGTATGTTTCTTTGGGGAGGCAGTCGCACTTGAAGGCAGGATTCACGATGAAAATTTAGCTCGTTGGAAATAAGGGTAGAGGTGGTCAGTGGAGCAGGGATGAAGAAGAAACCATTTGAAACGGCCGAAACCCGAGAAATGGGACCCCTTCCTTGCCGCGAACCACCTAGGTCTATTCCTGATCATTGGTGTACCTTGGATTCCTGCAGCGAAAAAAGTCCGCGATGCGAAAAAGCGGAAAGGTCATTTTTGTTCCAAGCGAGCTCTACCCGGTACATCCACGGAGTCCCGGGCCGCACGGGGACATATTGACCTGTATGACTCCGTAGCAGCTTACTACTGGCCACCAACAGGATATACGGTGATTCAGAACATAAGCTGGCGCCTTCGGTTATTTGAGAACGTTATGGCTCATGCAGAAATTTCCGTACAAACGGTGAAACCTGAGGCCTTTGAAAACGATGTTGGTCGTAATAAAGTTTCCACCTACAAACCTCGTGGTACAGGAATAGAGCGCACTATGTGATAGTTGATGGAACTAAATCAAAGTTGTTGGCCTAGACTTCTAGAACAACGCTGCTGGGATCAGGCTGGCTGGCTTTCAGAAGCTATTGGAATTTGGAGTGGTCTAGTGCCCGTGAAGTCCCCAACAGTAGATGAGTGCAAGGAGCATATGGCCCATATCACTTAGACTTAGTCCAAGAGAGTGCAATGAGATGGAAGGTATCGCGGAATCCGCGAGTTCGTGCAAAGGGATAAATTCCATTACGTCTCCCACACTATCAGATCTTGCTATCTTCTTATGTTTCTGCTGTGGCTAAGCTGAAGAGCATTATCGGCATAACTTCAAGGGTGATGTTGTGAGAGGACGTTCAGAGCTCTCAGAAACACAGTATAAATGCTCGCGGATTAGAATAAGCCGTCGTGTTCTGCTACTGCTATCTCTCTCTTCCGCGAGCGTCCCTTTTGCGAGCGGGGCTTCCCTATGCGATCTAGCGACAGGCCCTCTTTGCGACACTCTCTCTTCCTCTCTTGCGATGCGACTTTTATTTCTTCGACCTTTATTTCACCTTTTTTGGATCTAGGGAGATTAGGGCGACTCGCTCATGGGATGAAAGGGTTTAGATTCTATTTTTGGTAGATTTTGCTCATTTTTCACAGTTTTTTATGTGGAACATCGATTTTTCATGTCGTACGTGTTAGTTAAGATTTCAAATATGGTATTAAAGTTTAATTACCCAAGTTTGAGGTCCTTGATTCACGTTTAAGCCTTGTTGGACATTCTTGTTATTGTTTTCCTGGCTGGCTCTCTACACAGGCGTTTTGCTCATAATGGGTGCTTATCTTTCACTAATGATCTCTTGCCGTTCGGTCCATATTGCGAGCTATTGACATAAGCAATGAGACGTGCTGCTCCTGACTAAATTTTCTATACAAGGATGGCACACTACATGTCTCATTTACTTACTACAACTGACACTGAGCGCTGTCTCGCTCCTGCGTTGGTAAACTGGGTAAGTTTCTTTCCTCGTTCGGGATTTTCGGCTGCTCTTCCTGAGCGTTTGTCAAAAACGCTGAGGGGAGAGGAAGCGCTTGGCGGTTTAGGAGGCACTTCTCATACCTTGAGCCACGTTTAGGCCTCTGAGGAAGACGACGGCCGGAATGTCGGGCCGACTAATAAGGCTTCCACCTATCAACCTCTACGGCACAAGAAGAACGTAAAGTTAATAAGATTTTTTGAAGAATTGTTTAGACGCTTACAAAAGTTGGTAATGCGCCACTTGTCAAGGAAAACATCTCAGCGGAGTGGACAAAAGTAGGCAGTTTCGATAATATAAATCTCCTCTTTATGCGTTCGAAGCGTTTAGGTTCAAAGCGATCTGAAATTACGAGAAGAAATTCTACAAGGCAAGTATGACAGGAAGAGAGGGTTGGACAAATCCAACCCAGCATTTTTTCAGCGATGCAATTCTGAAGGAAGGTCCCGTGTGATTTCGAGTTCCTCTTGTGCAGACTACCGGTTAGAAAGAACTAACCTTTGCTTCCTGCCGCATAGATTACAAAGGTTGCTAGAAACCCATAAAGATCCACTTCAGCCAGTAAACAGATAGCATTGCACTTGTATCCTTTCTTCATAAGCTTCTTGCACGATAAGGGGCATGTTACAGTCGGCCAATAGCATATTTTGCGGTTTGACTTCGATGAGAGAATCCTGGTCCTATGAAGTGAGGAGGACTAAGATTTCAGGCAACCAATAAACAACCGAAGAGCTCAAACAACCTACCATCGACGGTCGAAACGATGTAGGCTCCATTGTTATTGCTGATCTGGTGGTGAGCATGATGGAACACATTACAGAAGTACATATGAATGAAGGAGAAAAGCATAAGATCTGTATATCTGACGATGAGGAAATTTATTTCAATATAAAAACCAGTTGGCGCCGCACGCATTGCGCGCGCAACACAGATCTGCGGCGAATTTTGATGGTGCGACGAAAATTTTCAAATTTGGCTTGATACACCACGAATATCTGAATTCTCAGCTAAATTCTATCCGCTCCATCATCGACGGCTTTCAACCTCTTTTTCTTCGTCAACCATTATCCTCTTTTTCCGGTCTCCGGACTGCTTCCGGACAATAAATCTCGTGGCAAACTCCGCCTACTTCGGTGCGTGCCCCGCCCACCAATAGCATTTGGCCCCCTTCCTTTCGCCGACCTCTACCCCCTTTTTCACCGGTCTCTGGGACTCGCTTGGAACCGAATTACGACACTTGTCGCAAACTCCGCCC